GAAAAATAAACTGCCCATGGTGTAGAGTAAGGAGAATTTTCTGGTCTTCAACAGCAATAATGGTATGTAAAACATGGAGATGGTCATGCATAAGGTGCCCATGCCCAGACAGGCCACAAAGCCCACTATGCGTTGTAAGCGCGACTAAAAATTACAAAGCAATCATTTAGCATTACAAATATGTATGTTAATTTTACAATAGTAATTACCAATTTAGGACAGCAGGAGTCCTGTGTTTCTTTTAACCAACTATTGGCTTCTGGTTCTGTGTTTCTGCTGAAAATATTACCAAATTCTGGTACCTTAAGTTGTGGCACTTTTACATTGAATTTTTTCTTTTGATCACTTTGTAGCAATAAATATTGATCTAAATCATCCTTTAGATTTGCCATTTTATTTCTTATAAACTTTATTTTAACTATATTAAATATTTGTTTAAAAACATTTGCCACGAATTTGTTTATTTTGTTACTTTTTCGTTTGGCATGCAACTTATTCGTTGTCGTTTTATATTTTCCAATTGCTCTTTGTTTTGTTTTTTTCTTATTCTCAGCTGTTGTATTACTCATACAATGGAAAAGCAGGGTTGTATTTTTTTAATCTACACTTAAAGAAATTTTAGCTGTAAAGTTATGGAGTTGAATTAATTGTTTAAAGTTGAACATTAAAATTATGATTAAGGGTATAATCGTGAAATGATAGTCATTGTTTTTCTGAGTACAAAAATGGAAAAATTGTTTTCTGGTCTATTCAGATCTGGGAGTTATGGACTGTTTGATGGACTTTGATACATAATTGAACATATCTCGATAACTAATTAATAATCCGATATGTTGATAAGTTCCTGAAAAGTTCCTGAAATACCTTTTTATTGAAATATAATTTATGTCATTACTATCAAAATCTATTATAATCGGACTCTAAAATACCTTATATCATATAGGATACTGCTAGAGAGACTAGTTTAAAATTAACATAAAATTTGGAAAAAAATCGAAAGCTAGAGAGCAAAGTATAGTTTACTAAAGTAATGAATACGAATCTGGTTTTAGAATTTATTCAATCATTACTATTTGCATACCCTATAGTCACTGATGCTCCAAATAAACCTAAAAAAAATTGGCTCAAAATAAGGAGGTTTATTCCATATTCGGATAAAAGTAGAGTAAGTAAGAAGATCAGATGCCAATCTTTTACTCCCTTTCAACGGGCGAAGATATTTAACCCTTTAGAAGTGAAGGACATTATTTGTCTTAAAATATCGAGACTTAATTTTGTCTATAAATCTAACCTTAACGTCTCTGGTATGATAAATTATATAAAATTACTAAGAGGAAGGATGAGATTTCGGATAGGTGTCCGACAGGGTGTATTGTCACCACTTCAGGGCCGCCTGAACCATCTTGATTACGAGGACAAAGTGGTATACAGCTACTCACATCTGGGGCCAAACCTATGAAGCATAACGTAATCCTGACAATTCTGTTATCATATCAGTAATGGCTACTAAAAATCTAATTGGAAATCATCTTCTCTATCTTTGCGCTCTGTTCATGCTTCGAAGAGAGCGATTTAAGCCGAAGTCAACTACAGAGGAAAGAATTGGGGAGAAGAGAAGGCGTTGGCATAAAATAGAGCTATGTCTATCTCTCTATCTAACTTCAGACAGCGTCGAACTAAGTTTATCTAGGATAGCTAAGAATTTAGGAACTTTCCTTGATGGTTGCATTGTCTGGTGGGAGGCCTCGAGAAAGGATAGTTACAGAAAGATGATCAATAAAGCTCAAAGTTGTGCCTCTATTGGCATTACTGGTGCCATTAGAAGCACTCCACTAGTGGCCTTGGACCTGTCATCCATAGACAATTCTGTAGCGGGCGTTGCGGCTAGGAATCTGCTAAGACTCCACGAGTCTTCTTTAGTTAAACCTTCGCGTGACGACCATACAAAAATTCTGTACGAAGTTGGCCTACTTAATCAGGGTAATTCCCCTCGCGGAATTACGGATTATGATATTACGACTCTAGAAGTCGTCGAAACACCTCTGATAAAATTTCCAACTAGGTATGATTGGCTTGTATCCGATATACTGTTTGATGGGTGTGCAGTTTTCACCGGCACCCGTGCCGGTATTTATATCGCTGATATCAACATAAAACGGTCCTTCAGACTCCCTGACGAATGTAGTGTCTTCCAAGCAGAGATCGTAGCGATCTGGAAAGCGACGGAACTATTACAGTATCATATCGATCCGGGGTCAGTTGTGACAATTTATGTTGATAGTCAAGCTGCTGCTGATTGTAGAAATGCCCTTAGGAACATTATGAGACTGTTTATCATTAGATTGTGTTGGGTGCCGGGACACTGTAATGTGAGCCTTCGAGCCTTGATATAGATGACAGAGAAAGGATGGTAAAACCAAAATACTTATAGGTATGACTGGATAGACGCAGTCTAAGAATTCTGATAGGGATGCTAACGGGGTACTGCTCAGTTAGGGCCTTTCTCAGTAAGTGGGACAGTAATACACCGGATTATTGTAGGTTATGCGAGGATGAAGAGGAAGTGGAGTTGATCGAGCATATAATTTGCCACTGTCCTATGATACAGAGTCTCAGGCGGAAATGGCTTGGAAATAGTTTCCACGACGAAATTGGGGATATTGCGGGTCTTGACCCTCGCAGTTTACTAGGTTTTGTCAAGGGCATAAGTCACTTCTTTGACTGGGCTTTATAGGGGGACGAAGACTTTCTCTTTTTTTTTTTTATTCTTTGGGGTACTGACTTGTTAATTATATGTATCCTTTACCTTCTTCTCTCTATCTATCTATCTATCTATCTATCTATCTATCTATCTATCTATCTATCTATCTATCTATCTATCTATCTATCTATCTATCTATCTATCTATCTATCTATCTATCTATCTATCTATCTATCTATCTATCTATCTATCTATCTATCTATCTATCTATCTATCTATCTATCTATCTATCTATCTATCTATCTATCTATCTATCTATCTATCTATCTATCTATCTATCTATCTATCTATCTATCTATCTATCTATCTATCTATCTATCTATCTATCTATCTATCTATCTATCTATCTATCTATCTATCTATCTATCTATCTATCTATCTATCTATCTATCTATCTATCTATCTATCTATCTATCTATCTATCTATCTATCTATCTATCTATCTATCTATCTATCTATCTATCTATCTATCTATCTATCTATCTATCTATCTATCTATCTATCTATCTATCTATCTATCTATCTATCTATCTATCTATCTATCTATCTATCTATCTATCTATCTATCTATCTATCTATCTATCTATCTATCTATCTATCTATCTATCTATCTATCTATCTATCTATCTATCTATCTATCTATCTATCTATCTATCTATCTATCTATCTATCTATCTATCTATCTATCTATCTATCTATCTATCTATCTATCTATCTATCTATCTATCTATCTATCTATCTATCTATCTATCTATCTATCTATCTATCTATCTATCTATCTATCTATCTATCTATCTATCTATCTATCTATCTATCTATCTATCTATCTATCTATCTATCTATCTATCTATCTATCTATCTATCTATCTATCTATCTATCTTTCTATCTATCTATCTATCTATCCATCCATCCATCCATCCATCCATCCATCCATCCATCCATCCATCTATCTATCTATCTATCTATCTATCTATCTATCTATCTGCCTATTAAAACATGCATCCGATAATTCCGCGCGGTTTTAAATTTACACAGGACGGCAACACAGAAACTGAGAACAGCGGCGCAAGATAAACAATGGTTCTCACACTCGCTCTCTCGTTCATCGAAAAAATGCGGTTTCTTTTTTTTGCCATTTACGAAGGCGAGTGCTCTCTTTCTCACTAATGCTCTCTTCTATGCGACAGATACAATTTTTTGAATTTTCAATTTAGTCATTGAGTAAATCGCGATGAATATGCATCGTTAAGGACGGTTACGTACGCGTTTTTCCCTCAAGTAAATGAAGAAAAACAACAACAACTATACTAAATTAAAGGTTTGTGTATGTAGTTATCTATCTATCTAAAACATACACACAGATACAAATATGTATAACATACACATATATACAACAACAACGGCAAGAAAATATTCATCAACAACAACTAAAAGAAGAATAATACAATAAAGTGAAAAAATTATATATAAATTATCATCTATGTATAAGTATAATTAAAACAATTACAACAACAAGCAAGAAAAAGCAAAAGAAAATAATCAAATAAAAACAAATTACAACAAATATTTAGAAAAAAGCAAAGAAAAAAAATTAATAAAAAGAAAATTAATTTATAATTAAAATTAATGAAGAAAATTAAAGCAGAAAAAAAACAACAATTTCAAAGAAAATTTAACAAATTTTATTACAAAATACAAAAAGTAAAGTGAAGAGCCAGAAAGAGGAAAAATATTAAAAAATTAAAATAAATTATAAAAGAAGAGAAGCAGTAATAAAATAAAATCAAGTATAAATTAAAATAAATTTTAGTGTAAAATCAATGAAAGAAGAAATTTAGAAAAAAAATAATAAAAAATTGCCAATGAATAATTTGTTTAAATACAAAAAAAAAAAAAGAAAATAAAGATGAGAGTGTAAATTATTTAAAAAAGAAATTTAAAATAAATTATAAATAATAAATACCAATCACTCGTCAAGAGAAAAATTCTTCTCTTTGGAAATAAAGCAAAATTTCAACAAAATTTTTATTTTGCCAAAAAGTGAAAATATAAATAAAATAATTTTGAAAAAAAGCCCATCATTATAAAATAAATAATATTTATAAAATCTTTATTTATTTATTGTTGCAAATTTAAGTTTTATTATTAAATCATTTCTTATTCATATATATTTTTTTTTAATTTGTGTTCTGAGAAAAAAAGCAAAATATTTATGATTTGTTTTTTTTAAATTGTGATGGAAATTTGTATTTTAGTGAATGAAATTCACTTAAAATTTCAAAGGAAATTATTTTAAAAGAATTTGTAAATAGGAAAATATAATTTAAAAAAAAAATAATAATAAATAAAAGAAATTTAAGCTTAAACCGGTTGCGGTATAAAAGTTAATTCCGAATTTTAAAAACTAACGTGTCTGATTACAAACAAAAAAAAAAAAGAGTCATATTTTAGCATCCTGGTCTGTTGGAGGTTTTGTTAAACTGTGGATTATATAAAACAGTTCAAAACCAGGACACTAAAAATAACTAATAACTAACTATAGATGTTTTATTTGCATCAATATCAGCCACAAAGAGGATTACTTTTAAAGGTATAATTAATATTAATTTTAAATTTAGAAATTTATTGACCGCTCAACTTTGTAGGTCTCAGTACTTTAGTACTTTTCGATATTGAAAAATATCTCGGTATTGTCAAGACATTTTCGGTACTTTTTCTAACTTAAAAAATTTTGATAAATGGACCAAATAGTAGTCTATAGTGTAATATATATTATAGTCTAGTACATAGTCAAGTCTATAGTACAGAATATAATCTACAGTCTCTTATATAGTCAAGACTATAGTCTATAGTATAGTTTAGGGTATAGTCTAGACTACAGTCTATAGTCTACATATACATATGTAGTGTAGTCTATAGTCTAGGCTACAGTCTAGGCTACAGTCTATAGTCTAGTCTATAGTTTAGTCTATAGTCTAGTCTACAGTCTAGTCTACATTCGAGTCTATAGTCTAGTCTATAGTCTAGTCTATAGTCTAGTCTATAGTCTAGTCTATAGTCTAGTCTATAGTCTAGTCTATAGTCTAGTCTATAGTCTAGTCTATAGTCTAATCTATAGTCTAGTCTATAGTCTAATCTATAGTCTAGTCTATAGTCTAATCTATAGTCTAGTCTATAGTCTAATCTATAGTCTTGTCTATAGTCTAGTCTATAGTCTAGTCTAAAGTCTAGTCTATAGTCTTATCTATAGTGTAGTCTATAGTCTAGTCTATAGTCTAGTCTATAGTCTAGTCTATAGTCTAGTCTTTAGTCTAGTCTATAGTCTAGTCTATAGTCTAGTCTATAGTCTAGTCTATAGTCTAATCTATAGTCTAATCTATAGTCTAATCTATAGTCTAGTCTATAGTCTAGTCTATAGTCTAGTCTAGTCTAAAGTCTAGTCTATAGTCTTGTCTATAGTCTTGTCTATAGTCTAGTCTATAGTCTAGTCTATAGTCTTGTCTATAGTCTAGCCTATAGTCTAGTCTATAGTCTAGTCTATAGTCTAGTCTATAGTCTAGTCTATATTCTAGTCTATAGTCAAGTCCATAGTTTAGTCTACAGTCTTGTCTATATTCTAGTCTTTACTGTAGTCCATAGTCTAGTCTATAGTCTAGTCTAGCCTAATAGCCTAATTTATAGAATAGTCTAGTCTATAGTCTAGTCCATAGTCTAGTATATAGTCTAGTCTATAGTCTAGTCTATAGTCTAGTCTAGTCTAGTCTAGTCTATAGTCTAGTCTATAGTCTAGTCTATAGTCTAGTCTATAGTCTAGTCTATAGTCTAGTCTATAGTCTAGTCTATAGTCTAGTCTATAGTCTAGTCTATAGTCCAGTCTATAGTCTAGTCTATAGTCCAGCCTATAGTCTAGCCTATAGTCTAGCCTATAGTCTAGTCTATAGTCTAGTCTATAGTCTAGTCTATAGTCTAGTCTATAGTCTAGTCTATAGTCTAGTCTATAGTCTAGTCTAGTCTATAGTCTAGTCTATAGTCTAGTCTATAGTCTAGTCTATATTCTAGTCTATAGTCTAGTCTATATTCTAGTCTATTGTCTAGTCTATATTCTAGTCTATAGTCTAGTCTATATTCTAGTCTATAGTCTAGTCTATATTCTAGTCTATAGTCAAGTCCATAGTTTAGTCTATAGTCTTGTCTATATTCTTGTCTTTACTGTAGTCTATAGTCTAGTCTATAGTATAGTTTAGGGTATAGTATAGGCTACAGTCTAGTATATAATATATATATTCTATAGTCTACATATAGTTTAGTCTAGTCTACATATAGTCTAGTCTATAGTCTAGTCCATACTCTAGTCTATAGTCTAGTCTATAGTTTAGTCTATAGCCTAATTTATAGAATAGTTTTTAGTCTAGTCTAGTCTAGACTATAGTCTAATTTATAGTATAGTCTAATTTATAGTATAGTCAAGTCTATCGTCTAGTAAAGTAGACAATAGTCATTTTAACAATAAATTAAAAATTTTAAATTTTCAATATTTTTCTTAAAAATTCAAATATTTAATTAAAATAAAAATTTTAAATAAAATTCAAACTTTTAAAAAAAAATTTAAATATTCTACAAAATTCAAATTTTTATTTTCAATAAAAAGATTATTGAAAATTCAATTTTTTTTTGAAAAATTCAAAATTTTCCTCAATATTCAAGATTTTTCTAAAAATTCAAAATTTTTTAAAAATTCAAAATTTTCTTAAATATTCAAAGTTTTCTTAAAAATTCAAAATTTTCTTTAAAATTAAAAATTTTCTTAAAATTTCTAATTTTTCTAAAAATTTCCAAATTTTCTTAAAATTTCTAATTTTTCTAAAAATTCAAAATTTTCCTAAAAATTTAAATTTTTCTAAAAAATCCGAAAATTTCTTAGAAATTCAAAATTTTTCTAAAAAGTTAAATATTTTTTTTTAAATTCAAATTATTTTTTTTAACTTCAAAAAAGTAAACATTAAAAATTTGAATTTTTACGAACAAATTTAAATTGTTACAGAAAATTAATTTTTTAAATCAAATTAAAATTTTAAATAAATACCTATTAAAATTTATAACAAAAATATTTAAAAAAAAAATTTCAAAAAAATTAAAAGATTTCTAAAATTAAAATTTTCTTTTTAAAGTTAAAATTTTAACTAAAATATCTAATTTTCAAAAAAAAAAAAATAATTTTAAACAAATTTTTATACAAACACCTACAAAATTTTAATGAAAATTCAAAATTATTCAAAAAATAAATTTTATTCAAATATTTATTTATTTTTTATTTCCAGCTTTAAAACTACCACAGAAAAAGGAATAATATTAACTCCCATCAAAACCACAACAGAATAAAGTAAAAACTTTTCCAAATCGAAAAAATCGGGCGCGTCTCATAACGATCGATCTCTTAAAAAAGTGTTGAAATTACGGTCGGTATGCAGAACAAACAAGTAATATTTTTAAAAATGTCGCCTTACAAATGCTCGAAGTAATAAAACAGTTATAAATTTTAAAAAAATCAAGTGTTTTAAATAAAAAAGTAAGTATTTAAAAAAAATTGAGTTTTTAACAAATAATCTAAGAAAAAAACCGAAAAAGTAGTGTTTTCTAAATGTGGACAGTGGAAAAAACCAAAGACCCAGAAATTAACAACCAAACGTGTTAAGTGCTAAACAACAATTAAATCAAACACTTAAAAAAAATAAAAGAAAGAAAAAAACAAGAAAAAATTTGAAATATTCTTGCTTTGCAAACGAAAAAACGTCCAACAACGACCAACAACACAGCACGAATAAAGAATCAAAAAAAATGGCACAATCAAGAAAACAAACAATTCATGTGAAACCCATATTCAGATACAAAATACACACGCAAACACAAACACACACACAGATACTTAAATATGTATCTAGCAAAGCTACAACAAATACCACTTTAACGCTTTGTAGTTTTACCAAGAGTTAAACTACAACAGAAAAGCCACACAAATTCATTTATGAACATATTCAGACAAACATGAGTGTAAAAATTGTATGTAAAATGGCAAAATAAAGGTGTATACAACATGGTTGGTGGTGGTGGTGTTGTCGATGATGAATAAAGCAAAAGCTACAAAAATATAAAATATTTTATTAGTATTATACAAAGAAAATTGTGTACAAGAAAAAAAAACCCTACCAAAGATATCAACCAACATTATTAATAATGTAAAAAAGAGAATTATTAAAATACCAAAGCAACAACATACAGTGACAGCTCCCCCATAATAGTATAGCACTTATTAAAAGAGGGTACAAATAACATCAGCTACAACAACAACGACAAACCGGGAATATTAAATGATTTCCCTATATAAACACAGGGCGAAACAACAACAAAAGCAATAAAATTCAAAACACATAAATAAAACAAAAATACAACATTTACTGCATTAAAACAAACAACTCACAGATACACACATACACTCTTAAAAAAGCCGCCAGTGTTGCTAATTTTTGTTCACCATTTCTTGTCAAATCATGTACCAACACCGCTGGAAGTCATCAGAATCAGGTTTCTTCAAAAACTTGGAAAATTTATAATTTATTTAATACCAAGACAAGATTTTAGACTAGACTATAGACTTGCCTATTGACTAGTCAATAGGCTATAGACTAGAATATAGACTTGGTTATAGGCTAAACTATAAACTGGAAAATACACTAAAGACTAAACAGTAGACTAGACTATAGGCAAGACTATAGACTAGGTTATAGACTAAAGACTAGACTATACACTAGACTATAGATTAGACTATAGACTAGACTATAGACTAGACTATAGACTAGACTATAGACTAGACTATAGACTAGACTATAGACTAGACTATAGACTAGACTAGACTATAGACTAGACTATAGACTAGACTATAGACTAGACTATAGACTAGACTATAGACTAGACTATAGACTAGACTATAGACTAGACTATAGACTAGACTATAGACTAGACTATAGACTAGACTATAGACTAGACTATAGACTAGACTATAGACTAGACTATAGACTAGACTATAGACTAGACTATAGACTATAGACTAGACTATAGACTAGACTATAGACTACACTATAGACTATAGACTAGACTATAGACTAGACTATAGACTAGACTATAGACTAGACTATAGACAAGGCTATAGACTATGGACTAGACTATAGACAAGGCTATAGACTATGGACTAGACTATAGACAAGGCTATAGACTATGGACTAGACTGTATCTTAGACAATAGACTAGAAAATAGACTAGACTATAGACTGGACTAAAGACTAGACTAGACCTGACTATAGACTAGACTACACACTAGACTATAGACTAGACTATAGACTAGACTACACACTAGACTATATCTTAGACAATAGACTAGAAAATAGCTAGTCTATGAAGACTAGACTATGGACTAGACTATAGACTCGACTATAGGCTAGACTACACACTAGGCTATAGATTAGACTATACTATAGACTAGAATATAGACTAGACTATAGACTAGATTATAAACTAGACTATAGACTAGACTATAGACTAGACTAGACTAGACTATAGACTAGACTAGACTATAGACTAGACTAGACTATAGACTAGACTAGACTATAGACTAGACTATAGACTAGACTATAGACTAGGCTATAGACTATAGACTAGACTATAGACTAGGCTATAGACTAGACTATAGACTAGACTAGACTATAGACTAGATAGACTATAGACTAGACTAGACTATAGACTAGACTAGACTATAGACTAGACTATAGACTAGACTATAGACTAGACTATAGACTAGACTATAGACTAGACTATAGACTAGACTATAGACTAGACTATAGACTAGACTATAGACTAGACTATAGACTAGACTATAGACTAGACTATAGACTAGACTATAGACTAGACTATAGACTAGACTATAGACTAGACTATAGACTAGACTATAGACTAGACTATAGACTAGACTAGACTATAGACTAGACTATAGACTAGACTATAGACTAGACTAGACTATAGACTAGACTAGACTAGACTATAGACTAGACTATAGACTAGACTATACTATAGACTAGACTATACTATAGACTAGACTATACTATAGACTAGACTATAGACTAGACTAGACTATAGACTAGACTATAGACTATAGACTAGACTAGACTATAGACTAGACTATAGACTAGACTATAGACTAGACTATAGACTAGACTTAACTATAGACTAGACTATAGACTAGACTATAGACTAGACTATAAAATAGTCTATGCACTAGGGCATACTATAGACTTGATTATAGACTATACTAGATTATAGACTATACTAGATTATAGATTAGACAATAGACTAGACTACAGGCTAGACTAGACTACAGACAATACTAGACTACAGACTAGACTAGAAAATAGACTAGAATATAGATAATACTATATTCTGGACTATAGACTAGAATATAATATAGTTTGTGCTAAAGCATACTATAGACTAGACTATAGACTAAACTATTGACTAGGCTGTAGATTATACTATATTCTAGACTATAGGCAAGACGATAATATAGTCTATTGACTAGAGCATACTATAGACCACACTATAGGTTATACTATAAACTTGACCATAAAGTAGGTTATAGATTAGATTATATATTATTTTCTGGACTATAAAATAGTCTGTGCACTAAGGCCTACTATAGACTAGTTTATAGACTATACTAGGCTATATACAAGACTATAGACTAGACTATGGAATAAGCTATAGATTAGATGTAAACTAAACTAAGGACTAGATTATGGACAAGTCTTTAGACTAGACTATGGACTATACTTTACATTAGACTTCAGAATAGAACTTGACTGTAGATTAGTGCCCAAATAGGTTAAAAACCAAAAAAATTTTCGTTAACCGCCTAAACGAATTTCATTTCCAGTTAAAAAAAAAACATCAGATTTGACAGGAAAAATGTCATATTGTTAACAGTGCACGCATCCTACAAAATAAAACCCTCTCTCTTCGTTTATTCAATCAATCGCTAGCTCACACATTTACTCGTTTTTTCCCGGAGATAAAGTTGAAAAACTACTTTGTTTTGTGTATATTTTTTGCTGAGTGTTTTTTTTTACACGAAAACGAAAGAGTCCGACTTATATGTTTGCTTCAAGTGTAAAAGAGATATATAAACAATAGAGAGTAGTATAATCAAGAAAACTAAAAAAGTATATGAAGGTTTGTGTGTATGTGTACGCTGTAGTATCTGTGTAGTATTGTAGTTAATGACGGCAGAGAAAAAAAACATAACAAAACAACCTCACACCAATTCAAAACCCCATTCAGCAGTAATCATCAAATAATATCAAACAGATGAAAAAAAACTAGCTAAACTACTTGCCACTACTTGATGTCGTTGTTGTAGCTGTAGCTTTTATTATTTTTTTTTTTATTTAACAAATTTTTGCAAGTGTAGTTTTGTGCATGTGTGTGTTTTCCCCTCAACTCTCATTGAGCTCTCAAGCAGTACCCCCCCCCCAAAAAAAAAGAGTTCTTATAAACATTGGACTTAAGGCAGCAAAACAAATAGGAATTCATGAAAAAATTTTATTATGTTTCGAAACTTAGAGTTGTCTGATGAAGGAAGGAAGCTTCCTATAAAGCCCAAGATGCTCTGATATTTTCGTTAAGTTAGATATTTAGTTTTTAAAAGGCTTAGTAGATTTTGGGTTTAAATTGATCCAAGAACGACTGAATGTCGTTCTTGTAGCTGACACATATGTATTAGCGGCGTAGTATCGGTATTGCGACTGTTTTCATATCGCCAAGTCGGCTGTTAATACAAATGCTGAAAATATCGATTGTTTGATGAGCTGTACGACAAGCAGGATATTCCCCTCCTAAAACCAGGGCATAAACAATTTATGTATCATGTTAAAGTCCGTAAAATTAACATAATCATGCGCTGGCTTTATCAGACTGTCTATCTCTGTGTCTTCACAATAATGAAGGTCAGGTTTTCCGATCACAAGATGCCACTGAAAATGCTACACATCAAAAAATATGTGATTTTCTACCCCAAATTTGATGTCCAATTGAGGCTTCTGTCTTCCAAGTTACTACTGAGAACGATAGCGATTCGATGTCCTTAGATTCACACACAAGCCGAATCTTGGCGGAGCTCACCGCATAACATCGAGGACCACCAGTGTCGTCCACTAGCAAGCCATTGTGATCGAACAATCCGAGGCCATTGGGAAAAAGTATCATTATGCTGCAGCAATAGTTATTGCGATCGGTGATTCCGTTTGGTCATGGCAGCCACATTCTAGTCAACATGCACCGTATGATAGGGCAAATATCAGGGATCAATGCGATCGTAAAAAGAAATCGAAAACTAAATCTCCAGACGTGGACCACTATCATCTACGTGAACAGTATTGCACCTATTAAAACTCTTAACTCGAACTTATAAAGTTCTCAACTTGAACTTTTTAATTACATTCACAACCTTTGTCCAATTGATATGAACAAGAAAGCAATCGAGGAAATGAAATTGCCAACAATGGCATCATCTTTGGAGAAATCTAATTTGTTTTTCCTTACCACATTATCGAACATAAGCGACGCATGAAGGGTCAAAGGAAATGAAACTGAAATATACCACTTGGAGAATATGAAAAATGCTCCCCTAACTGCCTTTCATGTAAGAGAAACTTGATTTTGTTGATCTTAGAAGAATCGTGAAAAATAACAACTTGTTACAAGAACTTTTCATGATCGGATGTAGTGCGAAAGAATGTAAGCAAATTAGTCAAAGAAGTCCTATAGGAAAGAATCTAATGAAATTTGTCAGAGAAATACCGGTTGGTTCTCTAGGGAACCACAGGACTCACAAAAGGAGCCAAATGGTCTCCAAGTATTATCACAAGAGGACAAGAGGGCATTCGAGTAAATGCTATTTCCAACATATTCGTACATAACGGATCATCTTTGAAGGAGACTGTTATCCCCTTACCACATTATCGAACTTGATCAACGAACGGACTTCAAAGGAAATAGAACAGAAATATAATAGGGGAATATTTCTGTTCTATTTCCTTTGAACTCCGTTCGAGAATATAAAAATGCACGGATCATCTTTGAAGGAGACTATTCTCCCCTTACCACATTA